TGCCATATATGTGTAAAATATACAGGCTTACAAAATATAATTTTGGTTATAATCTTAATTGGGCCGTTCAACAAAGCTAATATAAAACAGCTAAAAATTTATTATTAATACTTTCTAATTTTCGTGAAGAGCTTAAATTCGAGCATAAATTTATTTGATCAAAATTATTCCTCAATAATTTAAAAGAGATATAGAACTTAGCTAAAAAGTTATCTAATATTTTTTAATTTTCAAGAAGACTCTTATTTAGGACACAAATTATTTCTTCTGCTTAATTAATATTTCCTCAATAAAAAAAAAGTTTTTAAATTTAATATTTTTTACATAAAAAATAAAAAATTCTTTGAATCTCCTACAAAAATACGAATCAAATCAAATATTTACATAATTCGTGTTTTCGAATCGAATAATTATATTATTCGTATTAGTACGAATTAAATAATTCCTTATTCGTATCCGTTCGAATAATGAAAACATTATTGGATTTGATTCATCGAATATTCGATGCCAAAAATTAAATTCTTCAAAAATATATTCAAAAAGGATATTAAAATTTAATAAGTGATTTATAGATGTTGAAAAAAAAAGTAAAAACTTTTCAAGGAACTTTTAAATACTTAAGAATCATGTCAAATATTTCTGGGTTTGAATATTTCTGAAAATTTGAAATATTAACAAATAATTTGGAATATTTAATTACGAATAATTTCTAATATTTATAAATTATTTCAAATAATAAGAATAATTCGATCGAATAATAAATAGATAAAAAAAAAATTCCACAGATAATATATTTTCTTTATTCGATTCGAATCAAATAATTTTTTTATTCATAAAATACGAATCTTATGAAATAAAATCGAATAGTGAATAATTCGTTTTAGGTATAATTTTATTTTTTGTTAAATTTTACTCAATTTTCTACAAAAGAAAATGATGATATTAAAGTTCGAATTCAATATACTAATACAGAATTTTATTTAAAAATAATAGTTTCTCGTTTTAGAATCATAAAGATTTCAAAACCTCAGTATTGTTGTAATTTTTCAAGGGATCAGAACTATCCGGGATCATCGTTTGTGAAACCTTAGATAAAAGCTGTTAAAAAGCCTATAATCTTATATTAATTAGATTTTTACCACATATCTTCAAATTATTATATAAATTACACAATATTTATTTATTTTGTAAACATAAATAACTTTTTAACATAATACAATAAATAAGATACAATATATATAAATAAAATATTTTATATTATATCTCTAACAAAATAAGTTTTTTTTGATATGGGTATCAAATAAAAGTTAATTTAAATATCTTTTGACTCTAAGCATTCATTCTTGGTCTTGATGGGTATGACTTGGTCTGGGGGGTAGATGAAGAAGGGGGGGGTAAAAAATAAGTTTTTTTGATATGGCTATCAAATAAAAGGTAATTAAAATATGTTTTTATTATAATAATAATAATCACTTTAAGCGGGTGGGTCTAAGTCTTGGGGGGTTAGGAATATTTTTAAAAACATAAAAATCGATATGGAAAGCTAATTTAAATATCTTTTGACTGAAAACATTCATTCTTGGTCTTGATTTGTATGACTTCGTCTAACATTCAATTTATATATTATAGAAATTTTAGAAAAATTTTGACGCCCTAAGCCCTAGACCCGACCATTTACTGTTATTTAATATTATAGTCTTAAGAGGTTTCATTTATATTATATTTGATTTTTTAACCCTCCCTACTCCGGACCTAATCCAACCCATTAAGAGACCAAGAGTGAATACTAATATTTTAGTAGAAAAATATTTTAATTAGCTTCTATTTAATAGTCCCATTTTTATGTTGATAAAAATATTCCTGACCCACCAAGACCTAGACCAGCCCGCTTAAAGTGATTATTATTATATTACAATAAAAAAATATTTAAATTACAAAAAAATTTTTAACACCCCCCCTCCCCCTTCCATCCATTTTCCAGACCAAGTCATACCCATCAAGACCAAGAAAAAATGCTTTCAGCCAAAATAAATTTAAATTAGCTTTTATTTGATACCCATATCGATATTTTATGTTGATAAAAATATTCCTGACCCCTCAAAACCTCTACCCGCCCCCTTTAAGTGATTATTATTATTATAATAAAAAGATATTCTAATTACCTTTTATTTGATACCCATATCAAAAAAACTTATTTTTTACCCCTCCCCCTCTTCATCCACCCCCCAGACCAAGTCATACCCATCAAGACCAAGAATGAATGCTTTCAGTCAAAAGAAATTTAAATTAGCTTTTATTTGATACCCATATCGATTTTTATGTTTTTAAAAATATTCCTGACCCCCCAAGACATAGACATACCCGCTTAAAGTGATTATCATTAATACAATAAAAAAAATATTTTAATTACCTTTTACTTGATACCCATTTTAAAAAAACTTATTTTTTACCCCCCCCTCTCTTCATCCACCCCCAGACCAAGGCATACCCATCAAGACCAAGAATGAATGCTTAGAGTCAAAAGATATTTAAATTAGCTTTTATTTGATACCCATATCAAAAAAACTTATTTTTTTACCCCCACCCCCTTCACCCACCCCCCAGACCAAGTCATACTCATCAAGACCAAGAATGAATGCTCAGAGTCAAAAGATATTTAAATTAGCTTTTATTTGATACCCATATCAAAAAAACTTATTTTTTACCCCCCCCCCCCCATCTTCACCCACTCCCCAGACCAAGTCATACCCATCAAAACCAAGAATGAATGCCTAGAGTCAAAAGATATTTAAATTAGCTTTTATTTGATACCCATATCAAAAAAACTTATTTTTTACCCCCCCCCCCCATCTTCACCCACTCCCCAGACCAAGTCATACCCATCAAGACCAAGAATGAATGCTTTGAGTCAAAAGATATTTAAATTAGCTTTTATTTGATACCCATATCAAAAAAACTTATTTTTTACCCTCCCCCCCCCATCTTCACCCACTCCCCAGACCAAGTCATACCCATCAAAACCAAGAATGAATGCCTAGAGTCAAAAGATATTTAAATTAGCTTTTATTTGATACCCATATCAATAAAACTTATTTTTTACCCCCCCCCCCCCCCCATCTTCACCCACTCCCCAGACCAAGTCATACCCATCAAGACCAAGAATGAATGCTTTGAGTCAAAAGATATTTAAATTAGCTTTTATTTGATACCCATATCAAAAAAACTTATTTTTTACCCCCCCCCCCCCCCATCTTCACCCACTCCCCAGACCAAGTCATACCCATCAAGACCAAGAATGAATGCTTTGAGTCTAAAGATATTTAAATTAGCTTTTATTTGATACCCATATCAAAAAAAACTTATTTTTTACCCGCCCCCTCTTCACCCACCCCCCAGACCAAGTCATACCATCATCATCATCAAGATCAAGAATGAATGCTTTGAGTCAAAAGATATTTATATTAAATTAGTTTTTTATTTTAAAGAAGATTGAAAATTCTTATCAAAGCAAATTTTGCTTAAAATGTGGGCTTGAAAATCATTAATTAATTGTAACAAACAAAAATATACACAAACACAATAATACAATACAATACTAATTCTAAATACTCGTCCTCTAGTTGACTTAAATTCATAAATTCACGACTCAAGTTGAAAACTCATGTTCTCGACTCGAGTCGACTTGAGTTCACGACTAACGACTTCAGACTCTGAGTCGGGTGAACTCGACTTTTTAACAACACTACATTTAACTATTACATACAAAATTAAGTTAATATTGTCATGCATAACCGGTTTTCGATATTATAGATCTCAATAATGTGTATTGATTACATCTTAACATATTAATTATGCTTTTGTATTTATATTTTTAAATATTATTTGGTCATTTATATTATAAAAAACTTTAAAGGAAATAAAAAAATGTAAGATTTTCTATTTAAATACAAATTTGATAGATACTGCCAATATCAAACCATAAAAGTTAAAAAATCATATTTGTTATAATTTCTAAATTAGGTTTACGCTGCATTTGTATGTTCATCAATAATAACATAAGCTTTGCTTTATGTATGTCTCAAGAGATACAATTATAAAAGATGTACTTCTATATACATAATTCAAAATATTTAAATAGATTTTCAAAGGTTCAACAGAACAGATATTATTTTTTAAGAGCCCTGAACTATAAACCGTAATTTCTATCTGAACAAATATTCAACGGTTAGGGTCCTGCATTTGCATACATATATGTTTAAAAGTGTAGAAAGGGGGGTAGAATAAAAAGAATTTTGGGAATAAATCTGGAAGCTACCTTTAATTTATTTTCTCATGAACGTTGGATCTGGGTAGAAAAGAAAATTATTGGCCAGACAACTCGGGTAAGATATTTTTTATGATTAAGACTGTCCCAGAAATTTTATTTAAAATCTTTTTAATTTAGAACACAATTTTAAATGTTAGTTAACTTTATTTTATTTAAATTTCTTGTTAGCTTAACACCACTGTCAAAATTTATATCAAAAAATTCACGATTTAAATTTTATGGGTTGGGCTGACTAATTTGTACTAAAAATCTTCATGGTCGGGCAGGGCAAAATATTTTAGCAATCTGATCCGGAAAATCAGAAATTTTAGATATAAATATGATGGCAATGTGCCAAAAAATTGAATACACTTTCTAAGGTCATTTAAATCATTTGTTTGTTTCTTCTGGAATTACCTTCCCCTCTTCCTTATCTCTGAATGAGATAGGAAATGTGTTAGTATAAATCGTTTCAAAGAAGTCTTTGATTATTTTATAGAATAAGTTAAAGATACAATGAGTTGTATGTAAACATGGTGATCATAAATTTTTTATATAAATAATTCAACGTATCTCGTAAACAAATTAATAATCCACTATGAATAGAGTATATATTAAAAAAAAATCATAATTAACGTATAAATATCAAGTATAATTTTAAAAAATAAATAGAGATAATAAATTATATTTCATTATATATATACTAATAATTAACTTTTCCATTAATAAATTAGTTAACAATAATTTTATTCAATAGAAAATGCAGAAGATATAATTTGATTATGACTTTACTAATCCACAGTTAAATTGAACCAAGATACGAGTGTTTTATTAGCTTCCAAATTAGATAATGGTATACTAAGTTTGCCCAAAATTTCGTTTTCTTTGAACCTTTGAAAATTGCCCACGGAAATTTTGAGTGTTTTGGTCCTACATTGCTCGAGTGGGAGCGGATACACAAACTATATAAAAAATACAGTAAATCGCAAACATACAATCACAAATAATACTAAAATATAATTTTTAATCAGGATTTAATAAAGAATGAATGAAGGTTTAAGAATGGAGGAGCAGAAAAATAAATAAATAAAGAAAGGAAGAAAGAAGAGAATAGAAGGAAATAAAATAATGTTAGTTTATTTTAAAATATTTTTATATTTCATTAATCATAACGAGAATCGATATTTTTTATAATATTCAAAAATAATTTAGAATAATACTTTTCTAAGAATTATTGCATATATTATTTGAATCGATATTTTAAATATTATAGATATTAGGACTGCACTGATGCATATATTTATCACCGATCCGATATTTTCCAATATTCGTTTAAATGATCCTATTTATATTGATTTTTTACCATCCATTTTTGAATCAAATCGAATATAAAAAAAAATCAATATTTCCTAAGTGAAAATCGAATTATGCATTTAATTTTGCTTTAATATTTTTATTGCATAATTAAAACTAAAATTAAAAAAAAAAATTATATTATAATAGATATCAAAAAAATATGTTATAATAATGTATACATTTTATTTTGCAATTTTGGTATGAATGAATATCAAAATAGTTATATTTAATTTTCGATTTTTTTAAATAAAAATGTGAACTTCTAAATTTTCTGTCAATAAAATCTAAGATGGGGAGTATATATATCCCCTGAAAATTCTCTTAATCTATTGTAAAAAATTTTTAAAAAAAATGAAGGATATTTTCTTAAAGAATAAATAATAAAATGGGTGAGCTATTATTTATATAAAAAAATTTAAACCATTCTATTTTTATATAAATAAAATCTTTTGAAATATAATGTAAAATAAACAAATAAACAATAAATAAATTTACAATAATATAATAATAAAAAACAATAAAAAGATCGGATCGGGTTTTTAAAGGTATCGACCCGATTCGATATTTTTTACGCTATCGACCCCCATCCGATCCGATATTTAATATCGGCACAGCCCTAATAGATATCAAGTTAAAGAAATATTATTACAATCAAGTTTCATATTCCAAGGATTGATTATCATAAATAGAAGAAAAATTGGAATTAAAAGTAAAAAATAAAATTATTCTTTCGGGTGAAAATAAATTTTTTTTGTGTGAGATTAAGTTTAATAAGAGAATAAAAATCATTAAAAAATTTTGTATTACCATATCATTGAAGGAAGGATGAGAGGCCTTGAAAACTATATGAGTTTTTCGTTTCGTTATTTTGGCCTTATCAGGTTCGAGGCACAATTTAACGTAAGGATCCGGGAGGCTTCCATCCCTTCCCAACAGATTTTTACAATGAATCACTAAAATTTGCAAGGTATCATAAGTGTTGGTGGGATTTAAGCTACCACAACAAAGGCTTAGCTTGATCTGGGGTAGACCAAATGATTCGTTTATTCTTAACGCACTACTAACCCCCCTAGCGTCATCGGCGATCGTCAAAAAATTGGAAGGCAAAAAGGCTTTGGGAGGAAAGCAGAGAAAAAAATGTGATTATTTTTGAATAAATATTATTATAGGCACCTTATCTCAAAAAGGCACATGATAAAATTTGTAACGTCTGGAATTTATCTAAAACAAGGGCCTCAAATCACGGAGAGGGTGGGAGGGGGTATGACTCAAGTTATTTACTACAATTTTGCGTTGATTTTTTTTTGATATAACATTATAAGATTAACTCCCCCCCCCCCCCCCCCCCCATTTACCATTTAATTTTTTTATAACCAATTAAAAATATTTTGAATTTTTTATAACAAAATTTTTATTCTCTAAAAATATCCAAAAAAGTATGCATGTCAGATAAGCAAGTGTTTATAACTACACACCTTACTTCGTCATTGGCTTAGGGAGTTTAAAGGGCTCGGTGACCTGTAGCTTTTACCGGGGGGAAGGGGGGTACTAAACGAGATCCTTAATAAATTAAGGGGGATAGATAGTTATGAAGATGCTATCTTGATTTAAATAAAATTGGGGAGTGGTTTTGATTTGGATTTCCCTTTTGCTGATTTTGATTTGGTAGGATGGGGGTAGCCGGGTTAATTTTAGAGAGAGTAGGTGGTTAAATCGCTATATGTTTAGGTACTGCCTGTGTGTAAAACAAAAATATAAATGGCAAAAATATATCTTTTTATTTTTACATATTTTAAAGTTTAGCAAGCTATTTAGAATTAGGTTAAAATAGAATCAAGTAATTCAATATTCGATCTGCTAAATAAATATGAAAACTAATATATTCAAATGATTCGAAAATAATAAATTTAATGTCAATATTTAATTTATAACCAATTTTCAAAAAGACAAATATTTACTATCGAATATATATTTGATTTCGAAATGGTCTTTTGTTAGATTAAGGTATTTTATAAGTATCAATATCAATAATTTATTGGGCAATATTATAAATTTCTGTCAATGAGAAAAACTAAGATATATTTTATATATAGCTTTTTAGTCTTATAGTGTCCTTTTCCAATCTAGTTAGAAGCTACTTTATTTTTGGAAAATGACTGTGTTTGAAGGACATTATGTAACTAGAAAAGCTATATATTTTATTTTTATATGAATTATTAGATCTAGATATCCATAATATTTTATATCAATCAGCATCAATATTATTTCAGGGTGGAACATTGCAAAGTGGGCCCAACGCCCGGCCTAAATTTGAAAAATTTTATAAAAATTCACGACGAGCTCGTGTCGAAAATATTTTTAAAATTTACTAACATTTGGGCCGAGTTTAGGCCTAAAAATCATAATAAAATTTTGGGCTGGAGGCCTAAAAATAAGTAAACCTTTATAATCTCAGGAGACTCAAAAATTATTTTCAAAATGACCTTTTCTCAAGATGATTTTTTGTAGGGTATAAAAAAAATTTTCAGGGGTTTCGAGCTCCTGCCCCATAAAATGAGATATATGGTTTAATGGATATGAATCTAATATCCCATTTTGAGGGTAATTGTGATAAAATCTTCCAATTTTATATTTATAATATTATCTAATATATTTCTAAAAAAATCATGAAAACTATTAATAATTTCATTATTTAAAAAAAAAGCGATCTAAAATATATAAGATTTTTGGTAAAAATTAATTCATTTTTAAAAGAAAAATTTTTTTTTACTTTTAAAATATTTTTAGATTCTAATAAGCTTGTTGGAAAAACGCAGATGAACCAAAAAAATTATTATGGATAAACAGAAATTTTTTAACTGAATCCCCATCAGATATTTTTAATTGTTTTAAGCTTATTGTTAGGGAGTCAATCTCCTTAGGATCCCAGTTAAATAGCATTATCCCCATAATACCAAGCCTAGATAAAGCAATATTTTGCTTAACCAAATTGGAAGCAATATTGCGTAATAAAAGCCAGGGTTTAATAAAAATTTCAAATGAGCATTTGAAGATTTTTTCAAAATTTTGAACAAAAAATCTTTCAAGATCAAAACAATTGACGTGAAAAAAAAATTTTGAGCAAAATAAAAGTGTAAAACATTGTTTAAATTTTCTTTACAAAAAAATCTTCACATTTTTTGAACTTCAAAAGAGCAAGGTCTTGAAGATTTTTGAATTTTGAGCAAATGTCATTTTTTAAAGATTTTGGGTAAATAAAATTCTCAAATTAATGGTGATCATGGGATCCTCTTTTAAAATGTTACAATCAACTCAAATCACCTATTCCGAGGCAACTATCTTAATTCTTCGGACATCAGTGGGAGTTTTGCTACCCCCCTCCTATATGTCTTTTTTTAAAATATAGTTCTTATATTTGTCCTTTTTAAATTGTTTACCTGATTTTTTTTACATGTTAATTTAATATTATGCTATTTTTTAATATATAAAGATATTATATATTTATTTATTTTAAAAATTCACTTTTTAATAATTTTAAACTTTAAAACTTCAAGTACATTTGAATTTTAAAAACATATTTTAAATTTAGCTTTATTTAGAGTAAGGCCTATTTTTAAAGAATTCAAATATAATCTATCGCTGCTAAAATATTTTTAGAAGGTCCGCAGGTTCCATCTAATAAAAAAATGTTTTTAAAGAAAGAATTAGGGATAAATTATGTCATTTTCAGTAATCTATATATTTTCTATCAAGAGCTTTCGTTTTATGTAATGGTCATTTTTTATATTATCGTATATTTGCGGGAAGGGTAGTCAAATCTTGCAATATAAATAAAAGGAGCTATTTATCAAAAAGCAATTAGAATCAAAATACTTGACTCCTATCTCAAAAAAATCATAATAATGTCTAAAATTATAATAATGGAGATTACAAAATCAATAAAGACCTATGAAATACCTGAAGACTGCTGATCGTTCAAGGTCAAATCCAACTGTAGACTCAGCTTAAGAGGGCATTCGTCAAAGTATCTTTCGCGTTGATCTCTAACCATAGGATAGAAGAAGGTTATAACGGGACCTGACTGCCCCACCTCGTGTGCCAGGGCGAAAATGGCTTGACAAAATTGGTCTACCAATACGCGACCCTGGAATTTTTCAATTAAGTATATAATTCGAATATCAATTTTAAAATCATCTTTTTTAAATTTTACGCCAGAATCTATCGATACTAACTTATCAAATATTATGCTTAAACTTTTATATTTGTAAAAAAATAAAATATTATACATTGAAAAAACCTAATCCAGTGATACCAATAAAAACCATTATTAAAACCCGTTTGGAACCATAACCCTTTAACAAGAACCGGTTCCAAGTATATAAATTTATACGTATTCTGTAAAAAGTGGAAATTTCTATTTATATTCACTTTTAGAAGGTTTATTTAATGTTTAAATTATTTTTAATGCTTAGTTAGTAACAGAGTTTGGAACTGGAATCCTTGAAACCAAATCAAATCTAAAAACAGAAGCTTAATTTTTAAAAATTTAGAAACCGGAAGTAGGCCTGAATTTTATAAAAAAAATGGTCAAAACAGGAACCAGAGCTCAGGTTCTAAATGGTTAATATTTTCTTAGTTTCACATGGTGTCCTAGCATGGATTAAAATTAAAATTTTTGATTTGTAAATAGCTTTTCTAATTCCGAAGCCCCAACATAATATAATAATATAAGTTTTAAAAAAATGTTATGTACTAACCTTATTAGTCAAATAATAAATATAAATAAATACTCAGACATGCTTCAACTATTATAAGAATTCTGATTTTTATTGTTTACATAATATGAATCAAAAGCATGAAGAGACGCTAAGAAATTTTATATTTTCATAGCATTCCATTTTATTTCTTGTCAATATTCCAAAAGTAAAATTTAATTTTAATAACTAATATAAGATATATCGTTTTATTTAGTTATTAGATAAACTCATCTAGTATATAAAATAAATTTTATTTTTGGCCCATAGCTTGGTATTACCATAGGCCTTATTGTATTTGCATTATCAAATATAGTACATCTTAATCTTATGTACTTAGTCTGAGCCATCATTTTTCATTTTGAGCCAAGCCAGGCCTCTATTTTAATTTTATTTTCATATAAATATATTTCAGTTTCATGCTTTACGATGTGATTTAAATTATTTTAGTTTAGTTTATATTTTATCGCGTTATAATTTACATTTATCACTTAAGTTAAATAACGAAGAACATTTTATTTTCGTTTTGACTAACTTAATTAATGATATTATTAATATTATAAAAAATATAAATGATTTGTTTCAATATTCTGTTTGATAAAGAGATTAGATCTATAATAATATAAAATATATAGTAAATAAATTATATTAACGTAAATATAGTTAAAAAAATTTATAAAAAGTAACTCAATTAAAATTTTTGATGTCCAAGTCCACTAAATGTGACGCTGAAATATCTATCAATTCACCTAAGGATGAGAGAGATGCCTTCTTGTCTTTTCCGAAATATATCGGCGATATACACTCTTATATTGTTAAGATTAAGGATCTATTCGAAACTAGTAAGCTTAGCTATAGAAATAAGGCTATACTATTAACTAATAATTTACCAAAAAGTTAGGGCCATTTAAACAGATGAGGAGTTTAAGTCTTCAGACATTGGTTATAAATAAGCTGATTCTTATATTTCCATCTAAAATTAGAAATAAAAAAAATTATTGAATTTTATAATACTATACAAGCTAAGGGGGAAAAGTTTGCCGACTGGGTGGGAAGGATTTGTCAATTAGGAAATGAATGTAATTTTAATTTTGATAGAGCTATCGAAAAGATTAAAATCTCTTCTTATTCCAAAAACATTAAATATAAATTAAGTGAGAAAGACATTTACATAATAGATGAGTTAATAAAAATAGAGGTAATAAATTAGAAGATATCGTGACAGATACCGAGAATAGTACAGCCATGGAAACAGATAACAAATGCAACCGAAGAAGTTAAACAGGTTATGAGTACTACAAATAAATTTCATGTAGATAAACAACTCGTACAGTATAACATTAACCACGTTCAACAGTGGCCCTCACAATCTGGTTCTGCTAAGGTTTAACAATCGATACAACAATTACATCCCACTAGGCCTATTCAAAAACGAATTCGAAACGAATAATTTACTATTCGTATTAGTACGAATAATAAAATCTACTATTTGTATTCGATTCGAATTATTCGAATAATTGAAATTAATTTTCTTAATAAAATATAGCATACTCAAATATATTGACAATTTTTTTATTGCAAATTTTATTTCCAACAGAAAAATTATTAAAATAATTAATAAAAAATATGTAATCAATAATCTGATGATAAAAAAATATGTAATCGAGTTATAAACAAAATTAAAATGTATATTATTAATTTAATTCATAATTCTAGGCCAATTTTTAAGGCAAAGAGTTTTTCTTATATTTTCTTCCTTATATGACATGCGATTTTTTGACAACAAATTAGTTCCAACTAAGAAAAGTCGTTTACAAGCAGTTGATGTTCCTTGTATAGATAGATATTCCCAAGGTGTGAATGAAACCTATTATAATGATTAATAAGAGGGGAGTTGTTTTGCCTATACATTTTATAATGCTCTTGAGATGATTGAAGCAGCCTTTTCACCGTGTTTATTGATTTGATATTTCCATATAATCACTCTTTCTGTGGGGAAATTTTGTCAACTATAATATCAAGCATTCTCTTCTACCATAATTAGGCTACTGACAATAATTTATTGTAGAAATTTATTATATTTTTATATATCTTTGGTTTGTGTAATTTTTTAATATAATTTATTATGAGATTCAAAAAATAAACTTTTCGCGAGATTCGAAAAATACAGCAAATATAAATTTAAATATTGCTTTAATTTTCACTCAAAGATTTTTTGTGCTAGTCTTTATATACATTACCTGTCAGATTGGAAGGTCATCAAATAGAAATGACAAATGTTAGATTAATTAAAAGCAATTTTTTATTAAATACTCCGAATAATTCGTTTTATTCGAATCGAATAAATAATTACACTGTGTGACAAGAAAAATAGAAGAAGAAAATAAAAACAATTTTTGGTGCAGAATTTGAAGCTGAGTTCGAATCGGTTTTTCAAATTTTCCCTACACGTCAAGTTTTAAAAATATTACCGTATAAAGACAACTTTTCAAAATCTCAAAAATGGTAAAATTTAGGTCTTTATACGGATATATTTTAAAAAGTATTGAATAAAAATCACTGAAAATTGGTAATAGTGTTAAACTTATATTTCTTTATAAATTTACCAATTTTTATAATTTTTTATCGATTGGTTTTTGAGAAAATGGTAAAGAAGGGCCTTAAGTTTTAAATTTTAAATTACTATCAAAATTATTAACTTTAGAAGATAAATTTTATATAATTTTGCTACAAATATGCTCAAGATTATATATTAATTCTAATTATGTTTCAAAAGTACTCTATGCCATGAAAATTCAACCAAAATCTATAAATTAAAAAAGTCGGTACAGATATTTTCGAACTTTTTAATTTGTACACTTTTATTGAATTTTCTCTGCATAAAGCATTTTTAAAGCAAAATTAAGGTAATATTTATCTTTTTTAGTTGTATTTAGTAATATTTTATGCATTTATGATTAATTTATACCAAAATCAGATATCTGTACCCACTTTTTTAATTTGTACTCTTTTTGAATTGAGCATTTTTGAAGCAAAATTCATTTAAAATGCAATAATTGGTAATTTTTTCATATTTTTTATTAATATTTATTTTTTTTAGATGTATTTAAGAATATTTGTTTTTTTAATCAATTTATATCAAAATATATGATTTTCCAATGGAGTACCTTGAACCCGTAGTATGGGCAATAAATAATAATGCTAAATAACGAGTAGGAAGAAAGGAGAAGAATTATTTTTTTTCGCGCTACATTTAATTTCTTTCATTAATTTTTTTTTGAGAACGAAAGCCACAATAAATAAATATATTAAATGTAAGTTATATTAAAAAAGATTTTATAAATAAAAGGTAAATTTAAAAAATATAGGTTGTTAAAAAATTGAGTAAGGATTTTATAAAATAAAATGTATAATAATAATAAGGAATAAGATATTTTTAGTTGTATAGGGATCATTAGAACCGAAGTTATAAACCTTCAAAAAGTGCTAAAAATGACCTATTTGGCCACTTTAACCTAAAATAAATAAAAAACCTGACGTGCTAGAAAAAAACTGACAGCAGATTTAGAATATGCATAAAAAACTGTCTTAAAACATGTTTATTTTATTTTCTCCCAAAAAATCAAGTCAAAATTTGTCACAAAGTGTTATTCGTATTCGGATAAAACAAATAATTTAGAATTCGTAATCAATAGGCTTCATCCCACGTTACCAATATTACAACAGACCTTATGCTAATAATTTCATGAAAATAATAGTCACAGATTCCATCAATACAGCGACAACAGAAAATTTAACAATTACAGACAAGACAATAAGAGGTTTAATGACGGAAATTATATAAGAAATGATGACATCAAAGGTTCAACAATAACATGCGACAATATAGATATCATAATAATAATGATTTACAACAGAGTCATAGATACTATAGAACACTAATCAACCATATGATAATAGATCACATCACAATTACAATAGAAATAACAATATTAGAAATCAGATAGAGTATGGGAATAAGATTAACACAATTAACATAGAAGAAGTTGATGAAACTAAAAGTGATAAAGTAAAAAAAAAGATTTTGGCTTACTAGATATTAGCATTCAACGGCAATGATAACAACGCATGTAAGATAACTTTGAAATTGAACTATTTTACAACAATCATGTGTCAACATGTGATCCAGATTTACCATAATACCCAGTTCGATAGCTAAGAATGCAGGCGTTACTGAAATGAAGAAATCTAATATTAAGTTAACAGGCTATGACGGCAATCAAGTCAAAATTTAAGAACGCAAATCAATACAAATTACGAAGGAGTACCTAAAAATTTGCAAGCGATCGTTGTCAATAGCAATAAAAGTCCGTTACTTGGCAGAATTTGGCTAAATGCTTTTAAGAATATTTTTAAAAATTTGTAAGAAATATAGATGATGATTATTATAATGACAAACTTACTAAACTTATAGAAGATTGCGAATTGAAAATGACTAATAAACCTATCAGCAAAACCAACATTAATCTTCGTTTAAGGCAAATGCCATACCAAGAATAATATCGCTAAGAAATAAATATAATTAGTAAAGAACTAAACAGATGGATTCAGGACAAAATAATTAGCCAGAGACGTACACATTGGGACAGTCCGTTAACTCCCGTTTTTTAAGGATGATGGAAGTCTTAGGCTGTGTGCCGATTTCAAATATACTATCAACCCGACGCTTGAATAACGAAAATAAATTATTTGATAGCAAAATTGTCAAAAGGGAAGAAGTTTGGCAAAATTGACTTTAAACAAGCGTTTCTTCAATTACCTATATATAAGAAGTCAAGAGATATATTAATAATAGCCACGCATAAAGGCTACTATAATTTCACAAGATTACCTTTTGGCTTAAAAACCGCCTCGGAAATATTTCAACAAATTTGAACCAAATTTTCGGAGACATGAAAAATGTCATTTTCTACATCGATGATCTTTTGATCATGGGTGATGATGATGAAAAACATCTAGATAATATAAAAGAGGTAATCGAGAGAATTGTAAGATTTGGTTTAGTTTCTAACTTTAAAAAAGGCATGTTTATGCAAACTAAGGTAAGATTCTTAGGGCACGATATAGATAGGTATACATCCCAAGGAAGACAAATTGAAAACGATCATCAATATGGCCGAACCTAAAACAATCGAGGAGCTCACTACATTTCTAGGTATGGCCAGTTATTACAGAAATTTTTTAAATAACTTCGCGGATTTAGCCGATCCAATATAAAGAAATGGTCATGGAAAGAAGAACACAATAAAAGTTTCAACGAGTTAAAACTATTGATAAGGCAACTTCCGACTTAACTTTCTTTAATCCTAAATTGCCTATTGGAATCGCTGCCGATGTCTCTAAAAGGGAACTAGAAGTATTTCACTTTGAAGCTGATGTAAAAGAGAAACCCATAATGTTTGCTTCTAGAGCATTGTTAAAAGCAGAGTTAAATTACACTAATATTGAACGTGAGGCACTAGCGGTCATTTTTGCCATATAGAAATTTCAAGAATATTTGATTGGTAAGAAATTTACAATAATAACGGATCACAAACGTTATTATATATTTTTTTCAAAAAGCTTAAAAAAGGACACATATATGTCCATGAGGTTGCAGAAGTGTAACATAGCCATCGGAGTTTATAATTTTGATAAACATAAGGCGGGTAAATACAATGTAGTACCTGATTGCTCATCACGATTACTCATAACAAATACAGAAGGGGCATTACACAACTTAGGAGAAGAAATGGAGAACAACAATTTATGGGACGTACTGTTGAACTTGAAAAAATAGAAGCGGGAACTATGAATGACAAAGAACTATCGCAGGTTATAAATGATGTGAGGAAAGGCGACTTAGTAAAGAATACGACTTATAAAAAAATAGAAAATGAACTGAGTATAGTAAAGAATTATCTCTACAAAGCGGATAAAATAGTGATTCCAAACAATATAAGAAAAACCATGTAGCAGGATTTGCATGCTGGACCCTTGGGAGAAGGTAATGTCAAAAATTGCGAATTATGCAATATATGGTCAGATAACCCGAAAACCATACAACATTTATTGGCTCCAACGTCAATACCGTTCGAAAGATTAAATATCGATTATGCAGGTTATTTCCTTCAAAAACATTGGCTAATAGTAGTGGATGCTTACAGCAAATATACTATCATCACCCCCCCCCCCCCCCAGATGAAATCTATAACCACCGATAGAACATTAAAAGATCTCATGAAATCAATAAATTTGTTCGGGATACCAGAGACCATCGTCACGGACAACGGCACTAATTTAAACAGCAAATTATTTGAAAAATTTTGTTGTGACCACAGTATAAAACATTTTTTACATCAGCATACCACCAACAGTCCATTGGGCAGGTGGAAAGGATGGTTAGGACATTCAAACTGAATATGGAACGCAATATGGAAGATAAGAATATAGATGCTGATATAGCGTTAGAAAAGTTTTTGTTTAATTACAGAAACATGCCAAATGCGACTACGGGTATTCCACCTACCAAGTTAATGTTCACTTATGAGACTAGGACCAAGGGGGATTTATTGAAGCCTACATTTATTAATAATAATGATATTCAAGTCATGACCATGATTTCTATAGGATTATTGACTTAGGGGATAAAGTATTGTTCAAAATATTTGGAGAAAACAAATGATACAAGGGAACTATCAAACGAAAGCATAGTGACCTTTTATACGAAGTTTATACAGTAAACCACATCATAAAGCGTCATCTGAATCAAATAAAAAGAGATCAGATAGCACGAGCAACATAGGTTATCATGTTCAGGAGATTCATCCACTAAAATCTTCAAGAAGGAAAAAGGTAGCGTAATTATTCCAGCACCGAAACCGGTAAGAACACTAAACAAACCTGAGAGGTTCAGAGATATTATCATGTCTGTTGACGAGGTCAGTATGCAAAATATATAGAAAAATATATAAAAAATAGGACAAATCGGATACGTTCAATGGAAGGATGACAACAATCATAACGCCAACATATTTGCAAAATCCCACTTGAATAAAACAAAGGAGGGAATGTTATATAAAAATATATTCCTTACGGTGTGATTTAAATGATGTTAGTTTTGTTAATATTTTATCGCGTTACAATTTACATTTTTTAAAATTATTTTATCACTTAAGTTAAATTTAATTTCAAACGAAGAACATTTTATTTTCGTTTTGCCTAACTAAATGATTGATTATTTTTTATTATTATTTATCTTATCGATTAATAAAAAACATTTCTGTAATAGGACATTCATTTTTATATATTCTTTTTTTGATTTCGCGATACGAACACTTAGATTATCTATAGTATTATGATGCATTATATGTTTGATACAGTTATACTTCTATGTACTTTTGACTATCTCTCATGTGCTATTATTATGATGTTGAATAAAATTGCAGAAAACAATCTCGGAAATTATTTTTAGCATTTATCATATCTCGGGGCCAACCACAAAATTTAATACCATGCAGGTTCTGATATATATTATGAACAAGATTATTCAAAATAATACAATAATAAATGTTATTTAAACTAAAAATAATACTAATAACTGTACACTAAGAAATATACTTGAAATCAGTCAAAAGTGTACTTCTAATAACAAATTTAAAACACAGTGGAACAGCTTGTCAAACTTATCCTCACTAATGAAAGAGTCTTTCTTTATTTGTAGTTTAAAATCAAAATTAAATGACGATCCAAGTTTAAAGATACAAAAATAAGTGAAAACATAAATTAATTAAAAAGTCATGATTAGTGTTGTTAAAAACTTTCAAAAAATATTATCTAAGCCTCGAGGCGTATTATTTTTTAAAATAAATTACGGTTTTTTATAAACACGTCTTGCCAAATGGAAGGGGGGCATAAGGGAAATCATGGTAAAACAGCCTTGAAGTAATATATACCTTGTAAAATGAAGCAAATTTAGTATTGTTATGGGAAGCTGTTGATGAGGTAGTTTCAGTAACATTGGTAGATGAGATGGAAGCTGCTAGAGAAGAAAAGCGGAGGTTTGGAGGGAGGTGAGGTAAATCGGCAAGAGGAAAACGTTTTCGCAATTTGGCTCTCAGCTCTAGAAATTCTGGGTAGGTTCTGTATACAGAAATCGGACCTCGGGTACGTTGATATTGTACCCTGCAATGGTAAACCTTTTTTAAATTAAAAATCAAATAATATCAAATAATTGTAAAAATATGGAAATGAAAGAAAGAAAGAAAAAAATATATACTACCCCCCATGTCCTAATTAGTCCAGCAAAAATTACTAACTCAAATTCAAACAGCTTAAAAAATGTTGCTAAGACATTCTATTTCGGACCTGGGTAAATACAATTAGAGATCTGCAAAAGTAGGCCCGGCCCGTACCGGCTTCGGGCCTAATTTTTATAAATAAATCGGGTTCGGGCCGGGTCTAATATTTTTTTAAAAATTCGGGCCGGGTGGGTCGGGCTTTGGAATTTTTTTAAATATATCTAAATTTATCAATTTTATATTGAATTTTTTATATAAAATAAAAATGTTTGATTTTATTTATAGAAACTAGACGCCATTTAACATGTCTTTTATTTTGAGTAATTTTAAAAATTATTTTTATATTTAAATAAATTCGGGCCGGGCCAACTAAACTTTTTTAAAAAAAATTTCGGGCCGAGTCGGGCTTTAAAAATTAGGCCCGATGCAGATCACTAAATACAATACAACCAAGTTATAAAATTCTAAAAACTGTTTAATGTTAGATTTGGATGTATAATTAATTAGTATAGCAATTATTTTATATAAATAATCTAGTATTAGTGGCTGAACTTACTAATTTGCTTATAAAATATCACTTTTTAAAAACTTTTAATTCCTAATTTTTATAAAAAAATCCTTATACCAATTATAAATTACCCAGTACTAATATCTATAAACTTTCCGAAACAAGTATATTGAATCAATCACCTAAAAGAATCTCGTTTTTTTAATTTAAAATTGATAAAAACTATTTTCTCTTAAATTAAGATGCGTTTTAGCCAAATATAGAAAACTTTTCATTAACAAATTTCTTTTTGTGTTAATTACGATTATTTAAGCTTAATATTTTATTTCTTTTTTTCGTTCTTTCTTCGGGTAACACATTTAAGTCAGCCAAATCGATAAATATAGTAGAAAATGGACCATGTAATTGTTAGATATAAATTTGATATAAAAAATTATAGGAGGAAAAAAAATATAATTTTTTTGGATAAAAAATTGTTTATACATAAAGTTTGCCATCGACTTGATAAATTTTCTGCAATCCAACGACTTTCACATTCTCTATCTCCTCTTTAGTATCAGCTAAAGTGAAGTAATTGTTAGTAAAGGAGAATGCTTGAGATTTAAGATCATATTGGATCCTGGGAATATTATAAATACTACCATCATTACCGTTAACATGAGCAATGGGATGAGAGATCGTGGTATACTTGATATGTTTCGAGGAGTAAGAGGAATCCCCAGTATGTTTCATTAGACCATGGATGAAGAAATTAAATTGGGTGAATTTGGATGAAAGGCTTTCCTTGATCAACCTTTTTTTAACCATAAGTATACGATATATATTTTTTCAAATCGACCAATAAAACGAGATTTTCGGAAGACCATTTCTAAGGTCAGGGAAACTTACATGATAGTTATCTATGTTGTATATTTTAGTGAAATCAAAATTTTACCTCTTCAAAGTCGAAAATCGCGTAAATGGTGATTTCATTAAATCTCATTTAAAATAAAAATACTTATGAGAGTCACAAATTATATAACATTGTATAGCCCTTATTCTACATTGGAAAATATCAAAAAAAAATCAATTCTAAGTGTTTTATTTCCGGCAAAAATGTAAAAAATTAACTTAAATTTTTTTTTATAATTTAGCTCCACAAAAAGTATATTTTTTATGTATAAATCTAATTGTTCCAATGAAATCTCTATGCCGTTATTCATTCTTTAGAAAGGACCATAAGTCTATTTCAAAAAATCTAGAAAAAGTAGGATTAGAACCTTTTTAATTTTAGATTCATTTGATATAAAAAAATTTATTATTGAATATCGTGATCATTTTAATTTATAAAACTAGGTGACCAAGCATGATTAAAAAATCCAAAAGTCTATTAATAGGTGAATCATTCACTCATGTCGCTTAAATGATAAAATGGAAGCCATCGAGATTTCAAAATAAAGAGCTCGAACCAGCCCCATCCATTTCAACTTTTGATATAATAAATATATCGCTGGATAAACATATCCCTAATAAAAAGAAAAGAAGTATCCGCAAGCAAAACATAAAAAAGTAAAATAAGCATTAGATCAAAAGATATTTAAAAAAGCAGCCTTCCTGAGTTTGATATAAAAAATTAAAAACTTCTTGAATAAAAACTAATAGAAATTAAAGAATTCATGTCATCCTCCAATATAAAACCTGGGCGAACATTTGATAAACCGTGAATATTATAGAAAAATTTTATTCGCCTGATGAAGTCAGTAGTGCGATGCCAGGAAAGGACTATAAATCTACAATGACTAAAGGGACAGTCTCAAAAAAGATTAATTTTAAACAATTTAAAATTATATGAGTGATTAAAAGAGAGGTACCCTAAATTAAAGTTGACTTTTCTAAATTTCAGATTTACGGCCAAAAAATTGTATTCTGGCTGAATCTAGTGGTACACGCAGTGTGTATTTGAGTAATTCATCAAAATATTAAGCTTATGTTTGTAAATGCTAATTTGGCAAAACTATTAGCTAAGCCAGAATATCCATTACATAATTATTAAAATATTTTAGCCCAGGCTATATGCAATCCAGAACTTCCTATTTGATATTTAGGAGATTGTAACTAAAGATCTGAAAATCACGATCCAGCCGAGGGTTTTTTAAATAAATAATTTCGGTATAAATTTCGGGCCGGGCTTAAATTTTAAAATTATTACATTTTGTCAAATAAATTGATATATTTTAAAATTCTTGCAAGAAACAAGGTGCTAATATTTTTTTTACAATTAAATAAAATATTAAATTTTTCTATATTTAAATAAATTCGGGCCAGGTCGGGGCGGACTATTAATTTTTTTCGGGTAGAGATTTTTAGGACAAAGAAAAAAAAATTCGTTCGGGATCAGGCCGGACAAGACAAATTTTAAAAAAAAAATAGAAAAATGGCCCGATGCAGATCACTAATTAATTGTAACTATTGTTCAATTATATTCTCAATTAAAGAACTATATCAAACAGTGGGTATCTGTTGATAGAATAAATATGAAAACAATAACTAAACCCAAGATTAGTAATTTTTTATACACCTTTGTTACGTACGTCATTCCTACATTGTTATCAAAATAAATTTAGGATAATCTGTTTTTTTCTGAAAAATATGCCTTTGTAATCCAAGACGCTGTTCAAGTATTCCAATAAATAATAATCAAGCCCCTATTCATCGTATGATAGCAGATTATAATAATAATCAGGCCGCTATTCATCCTATGATAGCAGATTATAATAGTAATGGCAATATAGAAAATTTTAATTATGTGGCAATATCAGAGCCAATTCGACATGATGTTAATGCAGGCGGTACATTTATACCAGTAAGAATTTTGACCAATTTCAGCAAAAATTCAAAGTATAATATATGACTGCTATGAATCAACAGCGCAATATAATAACAGAATTTTTTTTATAAATCAGTGTTATCATGAATCAGATTTTAGCGTAGCAGCTGATTGGCATTTTTTAGTTACATCCTAAGGAAAGGTCCATGAAACATTAAAAAGATTAGCAGCATGTTCAAGCCTTCAGCGCACCAGTTCTGGACATTTTACCACCAGTTGATTTATATCAGTTTGCAAAACAAATATGCCATCAGTAAACTTTAAATATATAACCAATGAACAATACAATTAGAGATTAAACTATGAGAAAGATTCAATTTAGCTGCTTCATTTCAGAAACGCGGGAAATACACGCTTTATTTCCTTTAAGTTTAAGTAAACTTAAATTAAAAATATATTTATATGCAGAGGACTTTAAAATTAACATTATCTCAAATGACTATAATTTGCTTTTTGTCGATATCAAAGGATTCGTAATATGTTTTATGACGATTTTTAGTGGTTAGCCACAGCACTAAAAAAGAATGAAATTACTGAGGAGATATATATTTCTTTTTTGCATCCCCATTGATCCTAACCATCTTTCTTTTACCACACAATTTAGGAAAATATATGGTTGCCCATTAATCAAATAATAACGATAGTAGATCCCATAACCGCGACAAGATGTACCAAAAAATTATCGCCTCAGGAAATTATATTTATAAGAGCAAAATTATAATATTTTACATAGAAAATTTTAAAATATGTTAAGCTTAAAATATTAATAATAATCATATCCGTGCTGCTTGCTAGCATATCTCCCTAGGATATCATATTAGCTATACTCAATGGATTTATTATTTTAATACTAATACAATACATATTTTTATTAAATAGATTATATCATAATATTTTTTTAATATTAGAATGTATATTATATTTTTTTTATAATAATAAAAATTTTAATAAAATCAAAAAGCCTGAAAAAACACATCAATTTTTTGATCAAACAGTTTAATAATAAAGGTAATAAACATTCCTAGCGAATGTCAACACCCAAAAAAATTCCTTCTCAACAATGTTAACTTTTCATTTTTACAGGAAATAAGAAAATACTTGAAATTTTTAAGTTTATTTTGATATTTTCCGATGTATAATTTTAATGACTATAAAATGATATACAATCTGTATTATTTAAAGTATTTTTATTAAAAAAAATAAACGATTTTCGACTTATAAGATGCATATCTTTAGATCTGGTTGAGCTAGGGCTCTAAAATTTTGATTTTATTAAAATTTACAACATAAATTACTAACATGTTAAGTTTCATTCATTTTTGAGATGGCCACCCAAAACTCTAGTCCATACTATTTATTAGTCTCGTTTGAGTGGTTGTCAATTGAAAATTTGTCTATTACACCATAACTTTTAGACACTATAACCTGAATGTGAATATCTATTATATCATGTTTTTTCATATTAATAGCTAGCGTTTTAGATATTCTTGTTCAACTCAATTCTATCAATTATATATAGACACTTCTCTCTCTTATCAAACCTTAATATATATCAGAGACTTGACCCGTACCAAATTTCGTCACCTAAAAATAAATAAAATCATAAACTCGGGTCAGGCCAAATTTTTTTAATTATATTAATTAACCAGTTGAAAAATTACATGATGGATAATAAACTTTCATATTGAAATTATTTTCAAAATTCAACCAAATTTATTTAAAATAGCTAAATTTTAAAAACTGATAGGACCAAAAAAAAATTTAATCAGAAATGTTCTTTAAAAAATGGGAAAAAAAATCCAGGCAGGGGGAAGAAAATTTTAACATTTAAGATTTTTTAAATAACTTACTTGGTAAATAAAGAAGTTGCTTGAGTATCGTTCAGATCTAAAGATAAAGTCTTTCGCACGAACTCGGTTGAATTTAAAGGAATTCCCGGAATCTGGGCATATTCCATCTAAAATAATATATAAAATATTCTTTTTATTTTTTGGAAATATTAAGTAAATCACCCATTCATTTATATTAGAAAACAAACAAAAAGTTTTTGTTCTGAATTTCAGAAACAACGAAAATGTAAAAAAAATATTATTTTTTTTATTTTTTGAGTTAAAAATTTTAATTTAAAACTTAATCTTCTAGTGAGCTAGTTGAAAAATTATGCAAAAAATTAATTTTCCTTTTCCAAATTTAATTTCATTTTTAGTAATTTTAATTTTAGAATAACGACGTCAAAGATATTTTATTTTAATGCAAATATAAAAAAATTTAGGGACTTTATTTTTAATATAAAAACATTTTTTTATAAGGTGAATCGGACCAATTTGGCCGATAAAATAACTAAATTATTCCATTTGGTTCCGAATATAGCCGACCACTTTCTATTAAAAATTTATCGGATAGTGGAACGGCTGGTAGTTTGAGCTTCACTATTTCAAGCAATCGGTAAAATATATCGAATCGGTTTTTTAAAAAATATCGGCCAAACCAATATTTTCTTACAAATTCCAATATCAGCACCGATTCAATTTCTCAAAATTAAATAGTGAAGCCCTAATAGATATTATATATTTAAAGATAGGAAGAATTAATTTAATCTACTATTTTGGTCATGTTTAACAGCTTTCGGCAATTCTTTCGCAAAATGTTGAAGGCCTCGCAACAGAGGTCAATAAAGCCTTGGAAATGAGAACTAAGTTGATTACCCTGGTTAATTACATAAGCCATATCAGAAGTAAATACGAAGGGAACCCTGTCTCTATAGATATCATATGGTTTCATAAAAAAATGGGCTTTAATTATTTTGGCATTTTCTAGGTAATTTAATTAGGAAAAAATTAAATAAATATTCCTTAACATTTAATCCTTTTGCATTTTCATTATTGTTCTAAGGATTAATCAATACATATTTAGTAGATTAACTTTTTAATATTTCTAGTTAATGCGATCGAAATTAATCAAACAAAATAGATTCCTAAATCGAGTAATAAAAATCTAACTCAATCAAAAGAATATGAATGCTGGATAAATTACCTTCGAACGTTTCCAAACATCTGAGAATCTCCTAATATTTTGCCGAAATCGATGTGGATCAAATGGCCAGATCTTTTAATCATAATGTTATCATTGTGTCTGTCGCATATGCCCAATATATAGGTGGCTACACAATAACCAGCACAAGAACGAGTGAAATATTTAATGGCCTGTAAAAAAAACATTTTTTATTGGTAAAAGATGAAAATTTAAAAAAAAACTGATCTAAAATAATATAGTTTAAAAGAAAAAAATAACTGTAAAATTTATCATATGACCATTTTGTAGAGAGTTTGAAAAATTTTTTATATGAAAAATCATTTGTAATTTTTAGGTAAAGTTTGATCAAAAATCTGTTTTTCAAAAAATACCTTCAAAAACTTTGCTAAATTTTGAGGATTCTTTCAAACTCAGATTTTGTATATACAAGCAAAATCTATTCTATTTAGATAAAATATAATTAATGTTAATTTATAAGTATTATATAAGTTGAATAATAAGCAAGAAATTTAAAGGCTAAATATGTGAATTATAAGGTAAAAACTATAAAATGTAAACATTTTTGAAATCTAACTCTTGGGTATTGTGACGTTGAAGCCATTCATATATGCACTGATTTCTAAAGGTGCCGGATATGCCCTGGGTGTTTTGAATATTTCGCAAAGTCTCACAATCTTCCAAATATTCTACGATCCCTTTTGAAATTACAAAAGTAATAAAAATATAATATATGTTATAGAACTTAATTAATTTGAAATCGGTATAGAAAGGTAGGAGGTGGAAAATGGAGGCCAGGCTCTCCTTAAAAAAATTTAGAGGAAAAAAATGCAATATTTTTTGCATTAATCCATGTAAGCGATTGGTAATAAAAATTTAAAATTACATATATTATTTTTGTGATTTACTACAATTTATTTACAATATTCCGTCAAAATAAATGTCTAAATAAGCCATTTTTTATCAATCCTATTATAAACATAAAAAAAGATTGTTTAATCTACTATAAATATATTGAAAGATAAAAGAAATTATCGATCGTTATATCTTATAAAGATAAAGTCAGAAAAAATATTCTCAAAACTTAATCTGCCCCAGAAGACCACAAGAATACGAAAAAGGCCTACAAATATATATGATTTTTTATTGATACAAAAATTAAGTTTGATTGTAAAAGGATTCTAATTAAATTATTTTAAAAAGCATTGGGTTATTCATTATTTATTGACTAATAAAGATTTTCCAGTGATGCTTATCAATTTTTCTACCTCCTGCTTCAAAAATTTATATCCTTATGATTAAATTGATCCAAATTGTTTTGCGACGGGAAAAATGGCACTATTATCTACCCCCTTTAATTTCAATATGGAAATGAATTGTGAAACTAATCAGATATTTTTAAAATTATTTTAAAAATTATATATAAAAAAATGGCATAAATAGTATAAATGATATGCAGCAACACGAATTTGGAGTGTCAAGTCAACAACTTATGTGAAGCATTCAGTAACTCAATAAGGTGTTATCCAACACAAAAGAATCGAAGAAAGATAAACAAAAACCAAATTTACTATTATTAAGCATTAGAAGAAAACATAAGGACTTAAATTCGATTTTACAACATGATTTAAATAAAATTCGTGATATAAATAATATTGATTTATACATTTCCAAAAGAATCTCAATATTAATATATTAAATTAATGACTAGTTTATAGTTGTATAAGTATATTTGGCCTGATATATTCATATCTAGAGATATAAAAAAGAAGTAAAAAAAAATAAAAATTTAAACATTAAAAAATGCGGAAAAAAATCAAGCGTAAATATTATTTTAAGGTTATTTTAGATAACATAATTGAAATGGGAAAATTATAAAATGATTGCAATCAGAGGCAGGGATGCGAACCCGTCAAAATTTTTGCCATGGTTCAGTTGGAGTTTGGTCTAAGAAAATAGGTGGGTTCGGTGCGGGTTCGGTTTAGGGTAATATTTTTGAACTCGAGTTTAGTTCCGGGTTAAGCTCGGGTTTAAAAATTTTGAATTGATAAAAAATCTATATTTAAATCATAATTATAAACTAGACATAAATTTTGTGTAATAAATTTTTTATTTTATTTATAGGCAAAATATAGTCAATACAAAGCATAGATAGTCATGTATCAATTTTAAAAGTTTTATTTAGACGTATTGTATTCTTTAAATTAACAATATCCAATAATAATTTTTACTCTAACTTGTTCACTTTCATTTTCCTCTAATTAATCTTTGAGAATGAGTTAAAAATAATTGGCGTAAATGAATTTAATTGTCCAAAATTTATTAACACTTTAATAGGAATCTTTGAGAATAAATTTAAAAATGGCGTAAATGAATAAATTGTTTAAAATTTATTCACTTCACTTAATTGGAAATTTAAAAATATTATAAAATCTCAATCAAATTGTTAATATTTGGATTTAAAATTATACAAATATCATATATGATTTTAAACAATACAATGAACCCGGGTTCAAATAAAATTCCTAGGTTCGGTTCGGGGTTGAAAATTTTATAAACGGAGTTCAGGTTCGGTTCGGGTTTAAACTTTTTTCCAAAAATCCGGGTTTTCGGTTCGAAAAAATTTATTTTTAAGTAACCTTCATTTTCGGCTAAGGGCAAACAAGAAAAGGTCACTATATTCAAATCGAGATTTTCCTCGAGCCACAAGAGATCCATCAATTTTATCATTTGAAGACAAAATTGGTCTTGTCTAAGGTCGTCACCGCTCTGTTAAATAATATAACATATAAATAATTTATAAAAATTATAGACCTCTAATATTCGATTCGTTTTAAACCAAATATGCATATCGTTTTTATATATTATTTCGCTTTGAATTATTTGAATTGAAGTATTCGATACGAACAATATTAGAATTAGTTATTTGAAAATTACTTCCCAAATGTATACTTAAATTAGATATCAATTTAGGTGTGTAAAATTTTTTTAAATAAATGTGTCCATTAAAAATAGAATATTTTAATGAACAATTCATTTTAAACCGGAAAATGTCATGTTTGTTGCTAAAAAGTGTGTGTATAAAAAATGTTAAATTTTTAGTATTTACAAATCGTTTTAATTTAAATATAACATATAAAAGTTAAGGGAATGAAAAAAATTTATACTCAGTTTATTATGTCAGCAGGAATCTCATAATTATTTTAAAAAATGAAAAATAATAACTTTGTAGATTAAATAAGCTAGATTTGGCTCGCTATCCATAACTTCAAGAGAATCGTTAAAGCAGAGTTTAAGAGGGACGGTTTTGGAGCTATAGTACGTACAACGTTCGGGTTCAAGCCGGGCCCAATCAAACCCGCAATCGATAGGGAGGCGTATGGGTGGGTTTTGGCGATCTGGTTTCGCTAAAAATAATTGATTGTTTAGTCGAGTAAGTTGAACCCGCAACCCGCTCCGTCTCACTTTGTCATCCTTAACTCGCTTAAGGGTTGCGGCAATGGGTGGAAGTTGGCGGAGAAACATGTGGCGGGCTAAACCAAAGGAGGCAGCTAACTCGTCGTTCCGCCGGCTTAACATTAAGTCCATCACGATCCCTGCCATTTCGGTCTCCTCTTTCTCCACCACTGGCACACATCCTTCATTATGATCTACTAAAGTATCATTAGACTCGAAGAAAGTGTAACTTTTGTGAACCCAATAGCTAAGGCTCCATAACAGATGGATCGCGAATCGAAGGTTCTCTTCGGCCCGCGCGAGAAGAAGAATTAAGAGTGGTGATTCGAGGAATCTAACCCGAGAAGACAAATAGGCAGGAGCTTCGAACTTTAAGAGCAAGATAACCAGTTGAGGGGAGTAAAATACTAGCATATCTACGTTCAGAAGTGACAGATAATCGACGGCTGTTTGACGCACGCGTTGATCGGGAAAACTGATAATAAAACCAAAAAACAAAATTTTTATATAATTTATGAGGATAAGGATCAAATCAACCTCGAAAGGGGGTTAAAATTGCTATATATATATATGATAATTTTTTAAAAAAAATCGAACGCGTTCAACGTTCACTGACAAAAATCGAACGCGTTCACGTTTACTTTCAAAAAAAAGTTTAAATTAAATTTAAATAAATGTTTTATATTTTTTTAAATTAGATATGTTAAAAACTAATATAGTTTTATTTTGATAATATAATTATAAATAAATATAATATAGCGAATAAAAAGATTATAAAAAAATTTTCTTATTAAATTTTAATAACAATTGTTTTAAAAATTTTCATCTGATAGAGGAACGCTTAGCAGTTAATATGGCATTAGCTATATTAAAAACGCGCTCTACAGGGGCAAATGAGGGGATTGCGGTATTATACTTAATAAACAACTCTTTTAACGTGGGGAATTTATTAAAAACTTTGTTTTGTCCTTTGCTTCAAAAAATTGAGATAAGTTATCCTTCTACAATCCATCCTCTACTTCCCCGTCAAAAAAAAAAGAATATCTCGAAATTAACAGTTTTTGCATTACCATTTCTAGGGTTTTCAATACATTTTTTCAATAACGCTATAAATTTATTTTTCATAGGTTCGTTCTCTAGAAGTTTTATCCATGGCCATTGAAGTTTAAATACTGGATGTATAATTGGTGAAAGAACTTATTGATCTTCATATATATGTTCAAATCTTTAAAAAAAATAAAATATATGTATAATTAATTTGATAGCGTTAGGTTTAAAACCTTTTATTAATCCCATTTAATATTTCGTCTATCAATGGTTGACCATATTTTAGGCTACTAATTTTTTTTAATTTTAAAATAACTATCATTATTGTTGGCGTCATGTAGCCCAAATGCATTATTTCTCCAAATTTAATGATTTTACTTAGTTTATATTATATAAAATAATTAATATTATAAGCAAATGTCGTTTTGAATTGGAACTTAAACGTTTTGAACTTATATAATTTTTGGGCACATTTAAAATTTGGAAAGTATTAAATTAGTTCCTTCAATACAGGATGTTACTGTAAAATATTTATCAAATTTGGGCCATGGTGTTAATTCATCTGATTTTGAATTTTCAGAATCAGATGATTTTGATAATAATAATATCTATGCTTATGCTAATCTATAAAATTAAAATATAAACAATAATATCCAAATTAATAAACTATAATAATGGCGTGTTAAAAAATTGAAATGTGAAAAAGGAAAAACAGTTGATTATAAAATATAAGACTTTTTTCTTAAAAAATTCGGATTAATATTAAATTTTTCAAACAAATAAAAATAAAATGTGTTTTTAAAATTGAACGAACGTTAAATTCGAACGCGTTCGTCATAAAAAAGGAACGCGTTCACGTTCAAAGTTCGTCAAAAATAAAAAAAATTTTCAAAAAAACGAACTTCGCGTTCAAAATGAACGCGTTCGTTTACAACACTAATTATTTGATGATAATTAAAATGGACAGTAAAAACAATAAAGCATTACACATGTAGAGAGTCATTTTTTCTTGTAAAAAATAAATCTCATTTATGTGAGACAAAAAATATCAGAAATAAAGCACTGCAAATTCAATTTTTTTTGGCCCCAGCCTGGTCAAATTTTTTTTTGATTTTTAGGCCTGAGCCCGGTCCAAATAGTTTAGTTAAAGATAATAAATAAGACGCATTTTTAATTTTTTAAAAAAAAATAATTCATTTTTTATAATATTTTAGGAATCTTCAAGCCCGAGCCCGGGCAGATATTTTTTAAATATTTAAGGCCTACCTGAATTATTTTTTAGGTCTGAGCCCGACTTTTAGCCGACTTGCAGGGCACTAATCATGATCTAGAATAATCAAGTCAATTGTTTACAATATATAAAAAACATAAACTTCTGTTTTCAAAATAGTGTAGTATATACAAACCCGTTAATAATTATAAATCCTTTAAGTTGGAAAACGTTAAAATTTCAAGCCGAGAAACGTTATATCAACAACGTCATTCATGCTCAGCCACTCTAAATTTTTTTTTACAAAGCATTTTACAATTCAGATATGTTTGATTATATAATTAATCAAATTAATAAAGAATTATATAATATTTATCGAAAAAAATATAATATATCGATATAAATTTATAAATCGGTAATAGATCAACCTAAAAAAATTCACAATAAGCGGTTATTTGTCTTAAAAAGTATTGATTATGTAATAAAGTACCATTTTTTGTCGTTTTGGTGTGATATGAGGTTCCATCCTGTTAACTGGGAAAAAAATATGTTGGTTTATGGAATTCAAATGCTTAAAATGGATTATTATTCTATGGAAGTTATAGTCTATCTATAAATAATAACCCCCTGGACCTTTTCCATTTATGTAAGTCATACCATCTGGGAATTATATTGTCCTTTGATGGCAATCAGGATGAAAAGCAATGACTGTATTTATACAACCCTATCCAAACTAAGGCTAAGCTAGTTTCATCGCTAAATAAAAATATGGCATTATTCTATTGCCCTGTTGGCAAATTATTTCGCCCAGTTTAATATATTCCAATTTTGAAGAGCTGTCAATCAAATATGTTTTTTTAACATAATAAAAAATGAATAGTAATCCTGCTAATTCAGAATAAGATTTTCCTTAAGATTCTCTTTCCTCCATTCAATAATGTTTCAAAATCCGGATTTTTAATCATCTTTATATTTCCATTATTATACCTCCAGATATTTCTTTTATTTCTCAAATGATAATCTCTCAGAGACGATTGAAATGGTTATGTATATTTAAAAATTTTTAAAAAAATGATTAAATTGAAGGAGGTCGGATATTTTTGACTGGAATTGTTTTTTGTTAATAATATCTTCTAGCTCGTATTATATTAATATTTTAGTTGTATGAATCTCTATTGACGAATTACTTGGATCGTCGATCTATAAAAATAAATAAGCATCGTAATCATGCTATTACTATTGATTGATATTTCGATCCTTTAGGATAAATTTACTTTCACATATGATAAATAAATAAAATAATTTTTCATTTATTAAATAACACAAGTTGAATTGAAATTTTATTAAATATATTTATTGTTATTAATGACATAATTTATTAGGTTTGTCAAAAATTTATAAAAATCTTTTTATTGATAAATCAAAGATGCCCCGAGTCATGAAATCTATTGGCTAAATCTTGAGGTTTATGTAATATTTGTTGACTAACCACTATAGTTAGGTAATTACTATATTTTAGCCGTTTAAGCCAATTTTTAGCCGGCTTAAAATAGGCTGAACTAAGTTTTTGGCCGAAAACTATCACTTTGGCCTCGAGGTTTTTCTTAAAAGGATAACAGCTCCAATTTGGGAGAAACAAATATAAATTAAAGCGCCTTAATATTAACATTCTCCGGCAGATGCCTGAAGATTGAGTAAAATTAGCCAACATTTAGCCATTGTCTAACTATACTAACCATAGGTCATCTTTAATTATATAATGGTAATTATTATTTATGAGTATCATTTAGGTTTATAATTAAAAGTAGGAATGCACCGATATTTTTATCGGATCGGGCCGATATTTCACCCATTTTAAAATATCGGTTATCGGCAAATATTATAAAATTTTCCGATCCAATCTGATAAAAAATGACGGTTTTAACAAAAATAAAATATTATATATCTAAAAACTATTTATTTTTATAAAAAAAATCTAAATTCATTTTTATGTTAAATTTTTCTAATAATAATAATTATTTAATAAACATTCTGCCATATTGTTATTTTCTTTGCGCATTCTGTTATAAAAGTGTGCGATAATCTCTTCAAAATCTGTTTTTAGTAAAATTGACAGTCCCCATCGTCGCACTGACCACTGATAAATTGGAAATGACATTTCTAAAAAGAAATCTTCGATATATTAATTTTAAATATTTATTTCAAATTTCATAATATATTTGTATATTACTTATTATGTAAATAGATTAATGTTATTACTTATATAAATAAATGATTTATAAATAAAAATATTTTATATACTTTTAGAATTGCAATTGAATTGAATATAAACTATAACTGATTTATAATTTATTTAAATGACATATTATGGTATAGTTAAATTATATATGTTATACTAATAAAAAGTATATTAATAATAAATAAAACCATTGGTATCTTTACAGAATACAAAATTAAATATGATATCGGATCGGTAATCGGCCGATATCAATTTAATATGGGAATGTCGGATCGGATCTGATCGGCCTCCAAAAAGTGGTATCGGTACACCCCAAAAGTATGGGTCGATATCGTGAGTATCCGTGCATCTCTGATATAATACATTTTTGTAGTTTGAAAAAATTAATGTATTGAATAAAACAAGGATAACCGAGAATTAATGATAAAGGATAGTATTAATTCTAAAAAAAGAATGTGCAAAATTATTGTTGAAATAAAAAATAATCATTCAAAACTTTTAATGACGAAAGTAAAAAATGACAAACCCTTCCTAAAATAAAATATCTCAAACCAGATACCTAAGGTCAAATTTTTAGGCCAGGGATTTTTTTTTCATTAAACCCGGCTTGAATTTTTAAAAATTTAATAATTTCTTTAAAATAATTTTGGCTGTAAATAATTGCAAAAAAAATAAAGAGAAGAAAATGAAGCAAATATGTTAAATTGTCTATCTTCTTCTTCTCCGTTTAATGGCGATTTCCAGGTTTACCCAGTTTTATCTCTGATTTTTCTTTTCCATTTTTGATGATCCTGAGCATCAATATTTGTAAAATTCATTTTTCTCATATCCACCGCTATCACCTTTATCCACGTCATCTTGAGCCTTCCTCTAGGTCTAGGTTCTCCTTTCTATCAAGTTGTATTTCTTTTCCCAGTCATCTTTTGTCTTACGTTCCAAATGCCCAAACAATTTTAGTCCATTTCTTCGCCTTACCACT